CTGTAGACAGCGCCGGCTCGATCCCTAGTCCTTTGTACACCGCATGGAGATACTTCGAAGCAAACTGGGGACCTCGGTCTGATATGACCTTGGCCGGGGCCCCATGATGCTTGAACACATCGCGGATGTACAGGTCTGCCGCACCTTCTGCCATCAGGGTCTCATGACAGGCCGAGAAGTGGACCTGCTTGGTAAAGCGGTCGGCGGTGACCAGGATCGAGTCGAATCCATCAGACTTCGGCAAGCCGACAATCATATCGGTCGTGATGATCTGCCACGGGCGCTCGGGGATCTCGTTCGGCTTCAGCGGACCCTGGGTCTTGGCTGGGAATGTCTTGGTGCGGTTGCACACATCACAGGTGCTTACGTACTCATTGACGAATTTAGACATTCCTGGCCACCAGTAATTCCGTGATACGAGCTCCAGGGTTTTGGCACGACCGCCGTGACCGGCGATCGGTGAGTCGTGGTGGATCTTGACTATATCCCACCGGAGCTCCGCGTTCTTTGGGACGTACACGCACCCGTGGAACAGCAGAAGCCCTTGTTCGGCATTCCACTCCTCAAAGCCTCATTGCAGCCGGGGTGGTCCGAGATCCTGCATCTTTTCAAGTGCCTCGGCCACTACACGATCTTTCTCCGAACATTCCCTGATGCGCTTCAGAAGCGACTGATCAGCCGTCACCGAGGCATGGCCACGCCTGGCGGAGGCGATGCGGAAGCGCTCCGGCTTGAGAACCACCTGATCGGTGTTATCGTCCTCATCGCCGACCTGATGATCTGACCGGCGCGACAGGGCATCAGCTTTTCCATTGGACGTCCCGGCCTTGTGTACGATATGGAAGTCGAAGCGAGCTAGGAACAGCGACCATCGTGCTTGACGACGCGTGAGATGCTGAGATGTACGCCAGTACTCGAGGTTCTTGTGATCGGTGACGATCTCGAACTGAGTGGGTAAGCCCTCGAGATAGTGGCGCCAGTCGTCCAGTGCTTCGATGATTGCAAGCATTTCCTTATCGTAGATCTCGTAGTTACGCTGTGCCGGATCCATCGCATGGGATCTGAAGGCGATGGGATGCCATTTGCTGTTGTCCTGCTTCTGCATCAACACGCCGCCCGTGGCGTAGCCCAAGGCGTCAACCTCAATGCGCGTCTCTCGGTTTGGGTCGTACAATGCCAGAACCGGTGTCGTAGCGAAGAGGCGCTTGAGCTCGTCGAAGGCGTGCTGCTCTTCCTCGCCCCAATGCCATGGGTCGTTCCCTGTGAGCCGGTCGAGTGGTCGCGAGATCTTAGCGAAGTCTTTAATGAAACGGTGGTAAAAGTTGGAGAACCCCCGGAACTTCTGGACATCTTTTTTGTTCCGGGGTACCGGCCACTCATTGATTCCTTTCAACTTCGCGGGATCCATTGCTACCTCATCGCCACCGAACACATAGCCGACATAGTCGACCTTGGGAACGTCCCACTCGCATTTCTCAGGCTTCAGGAATAGATCATTATCCTGAAGACGGCGCAGAACCTTGCGTGTGACCTTTTCATGTTCCTCTTTGTTGGTGGAGAAGATGAGGATATCATCCAGGTACACGAGGACCTTGCCACCAACGATGAGATCATGAAAGATTTCGTTCATCATTGCCTGGAAAGTCGCGGGGGAGTTGGTGAGACCAAAGAACATCACCAGGGGTTCGTACAGCCCCCGGTTAGTCACAAAAGCTGCCTTCCATTCGTCACCGGCTTTGATCCGGACGTTGTTGTATCCCCATCGGACATCAAACTTCGTAAAGAGCGTAGCGCCGCGGAGCTTATCCACCATCTCGGCGATCAACGGTAAGGGGTAACGATTTTTGACCGTGATCGCGTTTAATCGGCGGTAGTCCTGCACGGGTCGAAGCGTCCCTTCCTTCTTTTTGATGAAGAAGAAGGGAGACGAAATGGGCGACTTCGATTCCCGTATATAGCCTTTCACCAGTTGCTCCTTTAGGAACTTGTCGAGTTCCTCCTGCTCATTGTTCGACAGGGGATACACCTTCGAGTGGAATGTCGAGTAGCCGGGTATGAGTTCAATAGCATGATCATACGGCTTCCTTTCGGGGAGCCGTTCTGACGCTTCTTTGGAGAAGACATTCAGGAACTCATGGTACTGTTTAGGTACCGACTCCTCGGCGGTCTTAACGACCTTCTTTTTGATCTCCTCCTCAGCGAACAGCTGGGAGTACGTATGCCCTGCTGCGACGAACAGCTGAGGGGCGCCGGGAAGCGTGATACCTTGCTCCCAGGCTTCGATCAAATTGGCCTCATCCCACTCTACTTCCGCTGGATCTTCTTCGGGTTCGAAGTCCGGGAGTACCTTACTCCGGCAAGCGCCTATAACCGACCATTTGGACTTCGGCGAACGCCTGCACGCCGTGGGCCTGACCCCCGTATCATGCGCAGTCGCTGCTTGCTCCATTTGGCCAGTCCTCCTGGCACTGCATGTTTCAGGGCATCGTGACAATTTGAGGGAGCCTTTCTCCCAATCGATTTCGGGGTTGTGTTCATGCAGCCAATCCAACCCAACGATCACATCTTCTGGACTGATGTCCGTGACTGTAAACACCGTCTTCTCGACGTGTTCTCCTATGTGCATCTGTAGCACCGCTACTTCTGAGATGCTTCCATCTTTATTCAGGGTGCCGTCAATATTGTAGAGCGGAATCGGCTCTTTCAGCTTCCGCGTCTGCACCTTATTCTCTTCAATGAATCGCTTGTTGATAAACTTTGTGGTGGCTCCACTGTCCACCATAGCGATTATGTCCTTGTGCCGTCTTTTCCCTTGGAGTCGAACTGGAATGTGAAAATGTTGGGACCCCTGGTCCAACTCATACACCATCGCAGTTGACAATACGTTATACTTATTACAAGATGATACTCGCAGCCCGACGCGTGCGGCACGAAGCGCGGACCGGATCAAAAACCCTCCTCTTTCATCGCCCAATAGTGTTCGAGCTCCTCGCGCATCGACTTCACCTGTGCCATTAAGTCCGCCAGCTCCGATTGCTCGGATTTCGCTGAAGCGGCACTTATACTTGCCGAGGGTGATGTCGTGACGGGGGCGCTTGCTGCCGCCTGGGTAGAGCCCGAGGCAACCGTAGCCCGCGCGTCGGCGCATTTTGTGTAAGGCTTGTCCTTACAATTGGGGCACTCGAAGCGTCAGTACCCTTGCTTCCCACAGCCAAAGCAAGTGCCAGGGAAGTTTCCTTTTCCGACGGCCGCATTGATGCTGGCCGAAGCTGTGTGTGACTGGGGTGCACCACCACGTGCCCCTCCGCGTCCTTGACCTCGGGCCGAGAAGAAGTTGTTCAGCTCGGGCCGACGGGCCCGACTGATGTTGAGGATCTGCTCGACCTCGGTGGCGCGCTTCTCAGCGGCTTGCCACGTGGTGAAGGTCTCGAGCTCGATCTTCCGGTAGACGTGGGAAGGGATGCCGCTCAGGTACTTGTCACGTAGTTCCAGGTCTCCATACCTGGAACGGTCCGCTGGACCCTTGAACAGTGCGGAAAACTCCGCAGCGGTGCGTTTTTCGCGGACCGACTTGTCTGCGCAGAGCTTCGCTAGCTCTACTTGTGCCGCCGCTTTGTCGTCGAGATTACCAAAGCGGGCCTTAAAGGCGGCGGCGAAGGCTGCTTCATTCCTGAAGGGGGTCATGGCCCCCTGTGCGCCTATCTGTACCGATACGAGCTGGGCAAAATAGGGAGTAGCCCAGGCGCGGGCATCTCCGTTGAGCAGGCTTAGTGCGACCTGCACTCGATGGTGGTCAACGACGTGTTGACCAACCAATAGATGCGCAGTTGCGACAGGAACCTGTTGCACTCGATGATGGTTTTGCCGTCATAGCGGAGAGGGAGAAGGAGCTTCAGGGTCTCCTTGTTGGGGGCGGTCGCGGGAGATGACATTATTGGCGCCGGGGGGGACGGAGGACGGCGCGGGGGCGGAGGCGGCTGTGGTGGCCCTCCGCTGGTCGAACTTCGAGAGGAGCGAGTGCTCGAGCGGCCTCTCGGCGGAGACGGCGGTGAAGGCGCCGGAGAAAGTTCGGTGGGGGGGTCACGTACGTCAGGGACTGCTGACGCGGAGGTGAGCGCTGTCGGCGAGGCGGGCCGAGCAGGATCCGCGGACTTGGACTCCGAGACTCCTTCTTCACTCGCACTCTCCTCAGGCTCAGGCTCTGGTGCAGGGTCTGGAGGGAGATCTCCTCGCGCTTGACTTGGACCGGCGACGACAGTTTGAGGAAGGCGGGAGCTGGGGGAGACAGGGCGAGAATGTCGTGAGGCAGATCGGGAAGCGAGGGTGCTTCGAGGCCTGAGCGGGTGTTGCGCTCGTCGGATCGCTTTGTAGTGAGGGTGATCTTCTGCGATCGATCGAGGTGTCCGGTTGGGGCACGGCTGCTGTTCGCAACGGTAGATGACAGTCTCAGGGCCATCTGGGATGTAGACGTCGATGAGGTCCTGAGAGTCGAATGCATGAACCTGGCCTTGACAGGCAGCCACGATGGATGGGGGGAGGACGGGAAGGTGCACGTACTACAATGGCCGTGCTATACTAGCTTACGCTACGGTGCCCGAGGAGACACTAGGGTTCGCAGTTCACGTGGGGCCCAGTACTGCTTTTGACTATTATGCAGTAGGAACCTAGTCCACGCATCCGTGAGGACAAGTACCGCCCACTGAAGTGCAGGTACTGAAGAGTTCGTTCCCTTAGTGTTGGCGATGTATGTACACTATCTACGTATCGTAATGTACCGTATGGGTGCGCACCACCCGACCTATGGGAAAGGAAAAGTGAGTGTGTGGGTTCCGAGAGAACGCCGGTCACTGTGGGAGTTTCGACCTAATGTCGCGACTTGAGGTCAAGCGACAGGGGAATATCTGAAGGCGAGGGGCGTTCGACTAGTTCTCACCAAAGCGATGGTGAGCGAGGCTCAAACCTAAGGCTAGGGACAAGAAATGTATTGGTTAGTAAAGGTAAGTAAAGGATACAAATGAGAGCTTACTGACCTAGGGACAAGAGGTCGAAACTGAGGTCCCTAGGGCAGCAGAGGCCGGCTTATATACATGGGGAGATAAGGGCAGGCTGTGCACACTGGTCCGTGTGCAGCTGGTCCGTGCGCAGCATGCTGACGCGGCCCCAGGGGCCGGTGAGTCAGAGAGGCTGTGTCAGCGGAGCCCGAGCTGTGCCGTGCACTGCCGCCCCATCTAATCTAATTGTACAGTAGATATGATGCGTCCGTATCAGGCATGTAGTACAGAGGTCGCGGGTTCGAGCCCGCGAAAAGGAAAAATTAAAAAAATGGCTAGACGCCGTGTCAACTCGTGACATGCGCGGCAGAGATATCATATCCTGCTGCGCCACTAGTTTTCTGTTCAGGAAGGGTTGCGTGCTCAGAGGTGGGGATGACGACGAATTCGTCCTCCGTTGGTTCTGGGAGTGGGGTAGTTACAGCCTTCCTTAGTTCTAGCCGAGCTACTCGCCTTTGGTACAGGTCCATCTTCCAAGCCCTGGTCTCATCTCTTGTCCACCGGTGGTTTAGCTCGACTCGTCCGGTCTTCCAGTCTATCTTGGGGTTTTCGAGTTTAAGCCAAGTGTGGCCGAAGATGATGTCTTCCTTGCCGATGCTGGCGACATAGGCTTTGACAAATCGGGGTTCTCTGCTTATCTTGTAAGATAAGAGAGCTCTTCGTGTGATGAGTGCTTCTTTGTTCGGGGTTCCATCCACGTTGAAGATGGGGATGGGTCGGGGAAGGGGTTCTGTCCGAAGTCGGTGTTCTCGAACAAATCTCGGGCTGATGAAGATTCCTGTTGCACCGCTATCAATGAAAGCGCGCGCCTCGACGTCTTTTTGTCCCATAGTAATCGGAATGTGCAGAGCGTGTTCATTTCGGACTACTAGAATTACACGGGACAGTGAAACGGATATGGGCAGTGGTTGCATCGGCTCACCCTGCCCCTTCAAAAATCCTCCATCGTGAGTTCTTCGTACAGCTCCCGCTTTTCGTCAGCGGAGAGTGTCTTGATTCTGGCGCGGAAGTCGTCCTTCCCAGATCCTCCCTGGTTCGGCCTTCCACCCCCTTGTCGTGCGGCCGCTTTCTTGCGGCAATCCTTGGCGCTGTGGCCCTTGATGTGGCAGTAGAAGCACAGGTTTCCGTCCCTGTGGAGCTTCCGGTCGGCCTCATTGAGAACGGCTCCTAGTTCCCACTTCCTTCCTCCCGATGTGGAGGCAAAGGTTGCCGCGACTGCAGCGGCGTCGATATCCATTGGCTCGCCATAGTCCCTGGTGTCTGTGACGGTGAGGGCCCCTTGTTCGGCGGCGTCGGCATTTCGGACTTTGTCGTACCAGGCTTTCATGGTGTTGGGTCGGTCTCTAGCGACCCTAGTTGCAAGAGAGACGTAGAGCTCCTTCAGAAGTCCTTTGACGAAGTTGGCGTGGAGAGTGTGGTAGTCGTTCTCGGTGCGGTTGACGCCATTGACTTCGGCGTCCTTGAGCTGGGCTTTCGATGCTAGCTGCTCAAAGCGGGTGACGTAGTTTCCGAGGGAGAGCGCCGTCTTCTTGTTCTTCTGTCGTTCGGGCAGCTTCATCAGGATTTGGTGCGCCTTGATTCGCGTTCCGTGCTCGGGAAACGCTTCCTCGAGGGCAGTGGCGAAGGCTGCCCAATCGGGATAGACCTGGACTCCCCCTGCCGACTTCTCGTAGTATGCGTCTGCCCATGTCTTCCCTAGGTCCTTCCTCATCAATGCTACAGTGAAGGCAATCTTTGCTTCATTGCTGAGTCGGGTGTTGTTGGTGGCGACGAAGTAGGAGAGGATGCATTGGATGAAGCGTCTGAGGTCCTCCGCCTTTCCACTGAAAGGTTCGGGAGCGGGGATGTCAAGGTGAAGGGGTCGGTTGGCAGTTGATTGTTGGGATTGGTATGCTGCGAGGGCGACAGCGATGCGCTGATCGATGTCTGCTTGAGTGAACATTGCCATAGGGACTTCAACCGGTGCGTTGGTTGGTGCAGGTGGGGCTGGTGGTAGTTCTGGAGCCTCGATGGGAACGTACTGAACGTCCGGGAGCTCGAACGGTTGTTCGTTAACAGGTGACTGTAGGTTCTCTGTTGTTTGTGCTGGTTCGACGTTGATTCGTAGGATGGCGAATACGTCTTCTGGGTGAGCGGGAGGGTGTCTCTGGTAATAGCTAACAAGCTGTTGATGGGCGACGATCTGCGGGTTGGAACCTTCTGCGCGAACCCAGGAGCCGCCTCGAGGATAGATGGGAGTCCTTCTTGTGGTGGTGACGAAGCAACGGTCTGCTCGGTCGTACTGGAGAAGGGGAGATCCTGCGAGGGCTGGTAGTCCCAAGGGAACCGGGTTTACTGCGTTGTTCGACATGATGGTGGATGAGTTGTTCGACTAGGTGAAACTAGGAACATAGCTTAGAAAGTTCGACCTTTTGATACAACNGGTCTATACTCCTATATTGATGCCTGACTCGTAGACGACGAGCAAGGACTTATGGACAGTGCGTCGTCCTGAAGATCGAGCGAGGAAGTCGAGAATGAC